TTCGTGTTTAACACTGTCTGTGCATAACCACCTATGAAAAAATGGTTTTGCAATGAAATCATTTTATGATTCACCTCTTTCCATGAAATGAAGCATTAGTTTGAACCACAAAATCATAACCTCCTCTTTTCACTTCTCCGAAGTATTTTAGAATATAATTCAGCCTAATTCTCTTGATGCCATTCACAAAGTACTCATGTCAATTATAATGTCAGCAAAAACAAATTCAGTGTTCTAATCAGTTGAAGATTTTTATTTTTTGACGTTTCATATCAGCAATTCAAGTATTCCCATCCCAAAATTGGCATAACAATTATAAGACTTTTCGAAAACTCAGAAGACTACAAACACACTCTGCTTGAGACAAAGGTCATCACGTGGAGTTAAAATGTGTTGTAAAATAAGAAAATACAGTTTTAAAGCTATATTATTGCTCTTTCACATTTTCTGTCAATTGCAGAATCTATTTTGAAATAGGCAATGGAGAACAGGTAATTACAAATTGCTTTAAGGAAAAAGGTAGTTTCCTTCTTTATCGATTCAAGTTTTAAGTGGGGAAAAAGTAAACATTTTAATTGGTAAATAAGTCTGATGTATTTGATTTTATTGTTTAATATCAAAATTAGGTTGCTTTGGAAGCAACAACTTTTGGCAAAGTTGCTTGTATTGCTTTTGAGAATAAGACTTATGGTCCTAATTCACCTAAAAAGTTAATCTGTTAACTGCTGTGGCTGAAATTGACTACCACCACATAACAAAAGAATCCATACCCTTCCAATTTTATTGATTTCTTCCAAAACAAATGAACATAACCTTTAGGCTCTAATTCACCAGAGCACTTAATTAGCACACACTTAAAACCTGCAAATCTATGGAAATTCAGCAAGAACTCTACTGCAGTTCCTCTCTTTATTCCTCTGTACTTTTCCACAGTGTTCCTTACTCACATTTTGTTCCCAAATGAAGGTGTTGCCCACAAGCCATAACACTGATTATTAATACCTTCAGTAACTAACAAATATCTTTGGGCCGTAGCCTTTCTTCACCCATCTCCAATGGTTGCAAATCATCATTTATCAATATCTAATTAAAAAAATTACTTTTCTATTTAGCAAATATTTAGAAAGAACTGTGCACTACATATGATAATTTATATAAAATAAAAATGCACATAAATCACATAATTAGAAATGCATTTCCTGCCAAATAGATCTCAACTACTCAATTTAGAATTATGTTGATTATCTAAAATTTATTTTCAGCATTCACATTAAAATTTTAAATTTGATTCCTGTACAGCTACTGTATGTACTATACTTCTGGCTGCAGGTTAAATTATACTGCTCTAAAAACTGGAGATCTTGCTTTTGGCCCAATCCATGGCTAACACAGAAAAGGAAAATGCATTAGTTAATTTCTTACCTTATACTGTTGGACAAAGAATAACTAAAATATAGATCCGCAGACTTGTTCCCTACCACATTCTCAGTTTATTAATGGGTTTAGCTAGTGCCAAGGTAACGTGCATTTTGGATGTATTCTATACTTCAAAGAGTAATCAGATTGTGCCATACACTCTACAAACTTTGGACACCTGTTAGAAACTAGTCACCATTTTGATCTAGAAATACAGAAAACCCCTATTATACCTAGAAATATAGCAATTAACATATATATAAGAAAATATCAGTTATACATAACTGCTACAGAAATGGCATAGGTTTAATGTCTGATATTTACCTAGCACTTTTCATTCCAGTGAATCCTAGTGGCTTTACAAGCTATACACAGGGATCCATTCATCCTGCACTGAACGAAAACAGTCTTGCTAACAATATATTGTGTAAAACTTGGAAATTGCCAGGAGCACAGCATGACTATCTTACCCAGATTGACATGAGACAAGCATAATACTACCCAAGCACACATTAGTTAGGACAAGACAAAATCCATCCGTTAAAAAAAAAAAAAAAATCAAGTACTTCAGAAAATCTAGGCCAAACTTTATATCTTATCTCTGAAATGAGAGCTTCCAAGAACATACTGTTGAGTAAGATCTAAAGTAATTTTAAAATCAATCTAAAGTTTTCAAGCTGTGAAAAAGTACCTTTCTACCTCACCAAAATAAAAATAAATCCCTCCATACACATAAAGGCAAATAGGTTAGGCTCCCATAAAACAAAAGGCAGATGAATAGCATAAAGTCATTTTTGGCTTGTTTTTAACCAAACAATTCTGCCATGCATTAGAAACTTCTTTCAAATGGAAATTTCAGCAATTATGTTCTAATGCATTCTACAGAGTTCTCAAAGACAACCTGTCTTCAGCAATAAAAATTTCCAAAGCCACTCAAAAATGCAATCACTGAAGAGTACTGATTGCACCATTTCCTAGGCAAGCAATACAAGCAACTGAATCGTTCTCATCAGATTCCTTTGGTACGTGGTCATTTCCTGGAGTTCCTTCACCAGTCAATATGAAAGTCCAACCTTTCTTAACAGATGAAAATGCTGCTCCCTTTCTTCCTCTTTCCCTCCCTCCTCAATACCAACCAATAACTTCTCACAAATTTGGAAATTCTGTCCCAGAATTAGAGATAGTTTAAAACATCACTGAGAATTAGACTGAAGAGAGATAGTATGAGTGTGTAGGTACAAAAGTGAAAGCACTTGCATTTTTTGTCGCTTTTCCTGACAGCCAGGGCAAAATTTTTCCTCCCAGGAACACTGTTTCCCATAAGCAGGTACAACTCTTGTTCCAATAAAAACAGTGTTTTATCTAGGGATGGACACTAAACTGGTTAGCTGTTTTCCAATATAAAAATCTGTATCCATATCCAAAAGTGAACTGCACTATTTGGGTTCACTTTAAATACCAACATGCTATGATTACAAGGCTCCTATTCCATTTTCCCACGTGTTAGCTGTTATCCAGATTTATATTCACCTACAGGTCTTCCAACATTTACATGAGAGTTTGGAATATGCAAACAGCAAGGTTCAGACTACAGTATTGAGACCTTATTGCCTTTAAGTAGGCAAAGCATAAACACTGGCTTACCAATACAAAGAAAATTATTTCACATCTCATTGCAACACAAAGACAGCAAATTGTGCACTAGGGAACATCACAAGGTGATGGTCACAGTCTACATACACAGCTTTGGGAATTACACTGACACCAACACTTCTCACCTTAATACACTGTCTAAAATGAGACAAGTCCTACAGCCCAACTAGCAAGTGAAACAGGTATCACTATTTAAAAACTATTTAAACATCTATGGTCACTTGTGCTGTGGACATTATCTAAATGCAGCTAGATAATATCTTCAAAGATGTTTTTACCATAGAACTGTTGCAGTTACCCTAATAAAATAGCTTGAATCCTAGAATATTACTTTGATTTTAGTTTAGAATATGATTTTGATTTTAATATGGAGTTACAGCAGCTATGAGAATAGAATAGGTAACTAGTATGGTGTGTGCCTTGATCACTATAAGAATCGTTATGGACTCTGAATTAAAAAAATGGGTACTGGTTATGGACCTTAAGTCAAAACAATAGGTACCAGAAGATACTTGTTTTAGTTTGGAAGATCATCCAAAGATGAAATGAGCATGTGCAAGGATGGAGTTCAAAAAGCGGACACAGTGTGGAAGACTTCTGATGACCACCAGAGGACCCCCATCCAACATAACCATGCATGCGTTAGGGACATTTGCATATGATAATGACTTCCAGGGAAAAAAAAATGAATATGCTAATCATTACCCTCCCCTCTTTGTATTCAGTAAAGCTGACCAATGATTTTTGTAGAATAGGAATATAGGTAAGGTGAGCTAACTGAAAGCCAATCATTATCAAGGTCAAATTAAGAAGCGAGCATTCTATGCATTTAATTGATATTACATAACCATGACTGATGAAAAACTGTATAAACAGTTTGTGCTTTGTGCCTGTTGGTGACGTCTTTGGTGGAGCTATGCCCCATGTTCCCCAGTGCTGGAATAAAGAAGTGCCTGCTTCTCTGTGTTGTGTAGATAAGTTCTATCCACAATCACGACCGCTTGTTTTGAAACAAGCAAAAGCACTGATTTTGTTAGTCCTAACTACACATTCTGTTAATCTGAGGAGCTCCCTTTACTTTCTGTAGAGGTACACCAAACTTCAGGAAAAAAAGATACTAAGAATCATCTGTATCATCTGCTCATATTTGTACTCCAAATTAACTACTTGTAAATTTTTCTTAATAAGTACCACACTGAGTAAGATGAACTGGTAAAATTAATAGATTGGGTTTGTAACAAGATAGCAGCCTAAGAGTTTCAGGTAATAGATTAGTTACAAACAGGGAAGACAAGAGCAGTTCTTACATAGCTAGAAACTAAGTACAGCACAGTATAGCTGGTCACAGAGCCTTTTATGTGCCTAAGAACAAACCATTTTAGCATCTTTTGTCTACCAGTAAAAGCCTTAAGGAATGCTGAGGTCTGAAAGTGTAGTGAGCCAGCCAAGAACTAAAGCATGCCATGCACAACTGCATTTTCAAGCTCAGATCACTCAGCTGTTGCACCTTAAACATAACATTTTTTTCAAAAGAGATTAACACACTCACTTCTATTCCTCAGTGGTCTTTGGAACACATAATTCTGCTGCAAGAGTGAGAGAACAAAATTCACATAACCATGCTCACAGAGCACAAGAACTGAAGCAGCAGGAGAGGGTTACTTTAGTACCTTTACCTCTTCTGAGATAGGAATAGCTATTTTAACTCTCTCTACTAGAAATTGGGTGGAGCTCCCAGACAGTTTCACAACAAACCAAAAAGTTCAACTAAAGGCAATAGAGCTGTAGCAAGGAAATGTAAACATCTAGCTTGCCAGCAAGAACACAGAAAGCCATCTAATCATCAGACATTGCTAATAATTGTAATGATAGCACCAAACCTTTATTTTCAGATTTTCTGTCTTTCCTTCAGGACTTGAGTAGAAATTGCCATAAATCATTATCTTTCCACCTGATCCTCCAACTCTGGTGCTTTCTTGGATAACCACTTGGACCTGCATAGTGAAATAGCAACAATGTGTACCCTTTAGAAACACAGACACATACGTACATGTATATTTTAACTTTCTCTGAAGTCACTGAACCTTTTCACTGCAACTAGTTTTACAATAGCAATATAATTTGTTTAATAGTCCCTGTGACTTAATAAAAATCTCTTAAAGGTTCAGTGACTACATAACTAGTAATTAAACCCACTTTGCAATAATCATGTTTAAAATACATTTATGACAATAAGAAGTTAGAAAGGATCTGTGAATTTACATTACTGCTCTCAAACAGAAAATTCAAACCCCTCTTTTTTTTTTTTTTTTTATTATGCTAAGTAGTATACATGCAGCAGAAATACTGAGAAGTTGATCAGTTTTGGTGCATGGTATATACCACATATTCTGTGTCATTTCTCATATTAGCACCTCCTCTTGCTTCATCTGCCCACCACTGTACCAACACATTTTAGAGGAAGATTGGTTTACATTTTTTTTCTCAAGGTAACACTGTATGTCTAAGCAATTTAAGAAACTTAATGTGCAAGGGCAAGTGCCTATACTGACTGGGCAACTGTGTCTAGAACCTCACTTTTCTGCCCCTTCCCAGCACCTGGGCTGAGGAGTAGGCCACAGAAGTAAACAAAGCTTCTGCCTTCATTCATATAAAAAAAAGACTTGGTTGGACATTTCCTGCATGCATGAAAGAAGAATTAAATACGTTCTGTCCCGGCAAGTGTAACATTACTAGAATGCCTTCAATGTAATCACTGGATATCTTGCTCAAAGTTTTAGTCAAAAAAAGATACAATGGATTTAAAATTCTAGATATAACTACAGGAATTACACAGAGATTTTTAAGAGATCTTTCAATACTTCAATCTAAAAAAAAGCCATAACTTTTTTTAAAACATCACTGCAGGAACTTTTAAACCAAGAAAAGATTCTCACTAATATCACTATTTTCTTTTTCAGCTACCACCACAAATTATGTTAAAAGGAAAAATTATTTCAAAAAAATAAACCACCACCATAACTGTAGACAACAGGTTTCCATTAGTATTCCATTTTATTCAAACTGCTGTAATTCCAGAATAAGAATGTCTTGATTGAAAGTTTCAGCTAGACAGTATATTTTTCAAGAGCAGCTACTTCAATATAGAAGTAGTGTGATTAATATTTAAAACTATGTTAGGTATTTTTATAGTCCTCACCATTGTTATAATCTGTTGTACTCTAGATGGTTGTGATCTAGCTAGCAAATGTCAATGGTTGGTAGCAGTATAAACAGTAGTGAGTAACTCATGTCAGAAGGATTACATAATTAGTTTTTATAATCCAGGAGTAAGAAATGCTGAATAAATTTTGCAAATGGTTCATGTTTTCTGGACCTAGACTTAAGTTTTTACCTTTACATCACTTCCCAGATATTTTTAAAAAAATAAATACACACACGTTTTTCAATTCCTCCAAGAAAAGACAACTACCCAAGAATCGCTTGGCATCAATCTCAATTTGAACTCTCAAGTTCACAGTGATTTGTGACAGGATGAAAACTCTGACAGACTACCTTTTTTATCATTAAAGATTATGAACTTCAAAAATTAGCAGCCTATCAGCCAAAGCTAGCTTTGAAAGCGTTTTGAGTGATTCCAACGGGATTCTCTGGACTTAATCAGACTACACATGAGACCAACACAAAGTTGTGGAGTTTCTTGTTTGTTTATTTTTTGTCTTTTGAAGGCCTATAATCCAATTCCATCAGTTGCCTGATGAAAAGATAACCAGCGAAAGAAGTTTCACAAAACAAGGGTTTTGGCAGCTTTGACAGTGTAAGAAATTGTCTTTTGTTATCTGCAGTTACAGATTCTGCAGCGCTGTGCCTCCTCATCTTGTGCCAATAAAACTGTTTGTAAGGCTGAATTGAGAACCAAATCGGAGGTCTGGGTAACATAAAAAGAAAAGAGATTATTCTTTATCCACGTAGGTGCCCCGATTCAGTCCCTGCCAGATCTGCACAAAACACTTGTTTTAGTATACCTGTAGAACAGTGCACTGCACAGCAGAGGCAGGAGCAAACAGACAAGAACGGCAACTCTGTAAGACAGAACTGCTACATGACAAAACACCACCCTTACAATCTTGGCTTCCTGGTTTTAAACAATCTTCTGTTGCCAGGGCTAACAGCCTAGTGATGAACTGTTCAAGAAAGAATGAAAAGGTTTTATGCTAAATTCTTCTTTAATTAGAAGAGAATGAAGGGAAACAGGTGATCAGTGTTGAGAGGCTTTACAAGTCTGCAAGGAATTATTGCCAATGGCTGCTCCTTACCAGGATTAAAATTCATCTTCAAAATTTAATACTTACATGATCAGTTGTCACAGGATAGTTTTCCTGCACAACAGACAACCGTAAACTTTACTTCCTAAGCAGGGACAGACATTTAGCACTGCCAGACAGCAATTACTGTAGCATAGCAAAGGTTTTGGGCTGATCCAGGACTAGAAATGTCAAGCACAACACAAGGCATGATCAATGAAAGGATGAACGAAGGACATTCAGCTGTTAATTTAAAGGTGCTAGGCAGCCAACTACAGAATGAAGCATTTTACATCAACCGTGGGAAAGAAACAGTAATTTGTTGTAGCAAAATACTGCATCCAGATCTTTCCCTTATGTCTTGCTAGTTCTATCTCATCATCAGTGATCAGACTTCTTTTTTTAAACCATGTGATCAAAAGACAATTGCTTATTTCACAGTAGCAGAAAGGCAAGATAGTCTGCAGAAAGAAACAATGGCATGCTGGTGCAGTCAAGAAAGCAAGTTATATTTTTTAAACAGAATTTTCTGCTGATTTTTTTTTCCCTACATCAACACATATTCCTGATAGAGCATAAAAGTAATGTCAGCTAGAGGATGTTATTCAAAAGAAGAATTTTTCATTTTTACAAGTGGGGAGAGTTGAACATCATATAATGAATCTACAGTATTGAATCACTCTGAGAAAGTCTAGTGCCTCTTAATGAGTTCCTAAGGCTGTCTGTGACTTAATACATGTAAGGTTGATGGCAACTGAATTGCACAAACTGTGATCTGTGAAGGGATATTTTAGTCTGAAGTAAATCACTGCTATGCTAGGCTGAATTTTGGTTGAACACAACAAGACAAATTGTAATATCCACCATCTGTTCATGCAAAGCATGAAGGCAGATAAAAGAAGCGAGGAGCAGTAGGGACTTGCTGAGCAGCCTGAGGAAGAAAGTCAAAGAAGGTTACTTGGGCTTAGTAGGAAGATGACTGGTTCAACACCAGTGGAGGAAAAACGGTATGTCAAATCACAGAACAGAGTAAAAACAGAGAGAAGACAAGATGATTTACTTTATTTTCTCACTGAAATGCTCATGTCAGTGAAGGGAAATGGGGGAGGGGTATGCTCATCTCCCCAGAAGCATCTGAGATGAAGAGAAACAGATAAATCAACCACCTCCAAAACCAGACTGAGATATCAAGGACAGAGCAGTGAAGACTAAAGGATTAGCAAAGATCGATCCCAAAAGACATTACATGGAAAGGGGTCCAACTTCACTCACTTCTCAACATGGCTCCCAGATTCACAAAATTCAGTGAGTTTTACCTCTTTTTTTTTCTGAGTGATGATAAGCTGCAAACCAATTTAAACATGACTTCATGTTTTCTTACTTTATTTTTTCATAGCTCTTCACATAGTCTCTTGAGAGCAGTCCACAGCAGCTATTTCATGACACAGAAATTGTACCTAGTATTGGTAGAATGGAGGTGGAGGGAAATTCACAGAAGCAGATTCATGATAGAGCCCTCAGCAAACACAAGTTGCTACTAAAAAAATTGGACTAACAGCTGCACAGAGCATTTCTTGCAATGCAACTGTGCACATGTCTGACTAGAAGCAATGGTACACAGCTCAGCTAGCAGGAGAAAATGAGTGCTGTTCCCTCACGCATTGATTACAGCATTCATAGCTGCAGAGACAAAAATCGGACATAAAATAGAATCTCCATCCCTATCATGGCTCTACAGAGAATAACCACCTTTCGGAAGGCTCAGTTTTCTTCAGATTTTGAAATAAACTGTCTCTGCATTCAACCAAGTGTGTGTGAATACATGTTCTGATTCTATAGTTTACAGTCACCAGCTCCCAGAGTTTGTAAGCCTCCTGTAAGGCAATACTGAATCTCACAGCTATAGGATTACATGTCGTCAAAAAACCCCAAAATCTTTACTTAAAAAAAAAAAAAAACACTTTCACTTCCTCTGAAATTTAAAAGGATTTAGCAGGGCAAAATAAAAATTTAAGTTGATGTAAGTGCATTATTTACACTAAAAACCAAACTATAAAACTATGTACATGTCATCAGTAATTCCTAATTTATGCCTCTATCTTACTACACTTTTTGCTGAATAACATTGTTATGCATATTACAGATCATAAAATTAGGATATATTCCTGAAGAGCACCATGAATGCAGCTAGAATAGCTCACAAATCATCTAGGAAATGATCTGTGAAATTTTCTAAAATCTCTGATATCAAACCATCAGCATTTTCTGTTAGTTGCAAGTGTACATTCAACCTAAGACAAGGAGGTGAAAGATTACAAACTCCAGGACTGCTCTGAAATTTACTTCAGTATTTTTGTTCCTCTCTTTCTTAAATATAGAAATAGGGGGAAGGGGAAATTCCATCTGCCAGCATCTGGGGAATCAGATTCCAATCTCAAAATTACTTCAAATGATCTCAAATTGCCTTTGCCTGACTCTTAATAGTTCTCAGTCTTGGCCATATCCCAGAGCCAATTTGTTTGACAAGAAATTATTTACTTGCTATATATTACTCAAACTAGATGATCGAATGACAACATCTGGACTTAAACATAAAAACTATGTCTATGAAAAAGATCTGACAGTTTTTATTAATAATATTTTGGTTGCATGTTGAAATGGGAAGTTAAAACTTAAGTATTTATTTTCCA